ATATATATATATATATATATAAAAATCAATATTTGAAAAGTCAGAAAAAAAATTGTATGTTCAGTCTTTATGCTTCTTGTGAAATAGCTTATTGCAAATTACGCGAACTCTGTATTTATTAAAACAGCTTCGATCCGGTCAGTCTCGAATATTGTAAACGCTTTGGCATTCAGGGTTGTTGAAACTAAAACATAGTTTCATTGTATATTTTGGGGTAAAAATACTACTAAATACAAAGTCCTGTAGTTGTTGTTTTTTTTTGGGGGGGGGGGGATAATGTGGTCATAGTATTTCTCCCCATGGATAAGATAGCTTCATATTCCTCTTCCACGTTTTCAGCAGGTATGTTGCAGTTGCTTCCCATGTTATAGTTAACCTGAAATCCAAATACGCCATCAGTGTACAATTAGTTATATCCTATCTTTTGTAATCCGACTACGTAACGTCTTTAGCATATTAATGCGAATTAAAATTATCTAATAAGCACTGCATGCTTTCTCGTTGATGCTATCTTGAAGTCAAACTCTAAATATGTCTTCTTTTATTCTCTAGGACCTTTTATGTTCGCTATTTTTATATTGATATTCTAATTTAAATTGACTAACCATATTACAAATGCCTTAATAAAAACGTTTGTGATGTTAGGAAAACACGTAGGTTCAAAAAGTCAGTTTTAAAACCAAAATACAAAACCATATATCCCAACCACTTTTAAAAGGTCCATCTTTCGAAAGCGCTCGGGTATAGGGTTTTATATTTTTTCTCAATAAAAGCGTAATATCTATGATAAACATCACGTACATTTCTAGCAATATCTCTAATATCAATCATTCCTCACTTTATTTTCCCCACATATCCATAGTAGAAAATCCGATGTAGATAAACAATTTATCTCTAATGATAACACATTGACATTAGTTGAAAACCCACTATGCATAGTTTATTTTCAATAGCTAATTCAAATATTTTTCTGTTCACCTCTATTAATAAAACCTTGACATTAACTAAGTATTCGTATTCGATAGAGATAGTCCTTGTATCTCTATTCCAAATTATAAACAGACATCATATCCCTAGTAAAAAGATCTTAATGTTAACTGAATGCCTAGTAGAAACAAATCATTCCAAATATTTTTAACAAACAATGGTTAACTACGTATAGATTCATTATTTTCAATCATTCATCCCTCATCTTAAGCTTTACGTCCAATTCAATATCGGAGGTCATCACTTTGTATTAGCAGGTCATTATCAAAAGAAAGAATGAAGAAGGTAATAACTGTATTGCACATACCCTTCTAAAAATTAGTTAGTTCAGTTTAAAATAAATTTTCGTTTTCGAGAAGTATTTTAATAGCACCAGTTTTCATGATTGCATCTTGCAGAAACTGTCACGAGACATAAGCATATAAGTAGCTTGCTTAGAAATTAACTCTTACACCTGAATTTGCTCACGAGTACTCACGTGTTAGTGCTTTACAGTGTACAAAGAAAGGAGTTGTGAGTGAAGAGTTTTTCTAAATAGTGCCAAGAAAAACTGAACAAACCAAAGTGCAATAAAGATGTGAAACATGTTGAAGGTGTCTGAGCATTGTTATTTGTGTTGTTTTAATGTTCACTTAATTTCAAATAAAATATCAATCAATACTTAAATGTTTTTCTGGAACTTTATTTAAGTAAAATCTTTAAAATGTGTATACTTTTTCTCAATTCTTTTGTATTAAAATGCAATCTTTATATTTTTTTAAATGATTGGGGAATTTTTGAATATTTGAAATTCCTATATTTTTTGCCCACCCATCCACTCCTCCTCCTCTTCATCGGGAGGTCATTGTTAAGTTTGTGTACCTACAGTACCAAGTAGGCAACATTGAGGTTCAGTCCCAGGTATTAGGCAGAGTGGAGATTTGTACAGTTTTGCGCAAATTAAACGAATTTTTCGTCCACGATCTGACTTTTTTAGAAGAAAAAAATCACTATAACTTAAACCGACTTCCGTAATATAATTCAGTAATACGTCTTATGCTTTAGGAAGTGTTTTTTTTCTTTTGTAATTACGTAAATGCAAATAATTTCTATCAACAACGAAGTTTTAAAGGTTTTGACTACAATGATTGAAGATAATACTAAATTAACAACGAACAATTATTCAAAGTTAAACATTTTGTGAAAAATAACTGGAAACTGGTTTTGACTGCAATGTAGCATCGGTTGTTTGAGTAACAGATTTTATTTCATCCTTAACCCATTTACAACTTCAAGCAGTAATTGTTTTATAACAGTGTAAAATAACTTCTCCTCTGACAGAAAAACCTTCTTGTGACTTGTTCCATACAAATTATTAAATAAAGAAAATGGAAACGGTATATCTCTTCCAATTTCTTATACATATCACTATTGCCCCCCTCCCCAGTGGCACAGCGGAAAGTCTGAAGGCTTTGTTTGTTTGTAATTAAGCACAAAGCTACACAATGGGCTATCTGTGCTCTGCCCACTACGGGTATCAAAACCAGTATTCTAGCGTTGTAAGTCAGCAGTCTGAAGGCTTATAACGCTAAAACTTTGGTTTTGATATCCGTGGTGGGCACAGCACAGATAACACATTGTGTAGCTTTGTGCTTAACAACAAACAAACAAATTTATCAATATTCCAATTCACATTTTTCGAACGGGAGTGTGAACATAACCTATAAAATTTCTCCAAGTCATTCATTCTGGTCTAATATGTTACATTCATAGCAACAGTCCAATAATCTTAATATACGGCCGTACGTAAAGACAGTTATATTAAATCTACGAGGTAACGAGGTTGTACGAGAAGAAGTGACATGTTTGTTGTTGTACGCAAAGTTTAGCAGCATGTTGACCACGAGTTTCAGGACTATCACAAAAGGTCCACTATCGGTGTCATCAATTCTAGCAAAACAATCATATTATCATATTTTAGAATAACAAAAAAAATTATCTTTTATTTTTGCAACGAAGAAACTGACTTTGAATAACATTCTTCAACGTACTTTTAAAAAATACGACTAAGTTTATTGTTGTTTGTTTTTTCAGTTGAAGTTTAAGTTATTTATTTAGTACATTACTGGGGCAATGACTTCCCTTTTCTTGGAGATATTTTTTGAAAAAGATAGTTTATTGATCATCTGGTTTTAACACATAGGTTGAATGAACAACTACCGATATTTCTATAATAAGTAAAACTAGAAGACCGATATAATTATTTTTCACCTTTGTAAAGACAGCTTTCCATTAACTAACTTTTCGATTGAACAAGTGCTGACCAGTTTCGTGCTTATATCGTATCATATTGTTATCTTTGACATAATGGTCGATTTGCTGAATTGCCTAAAGTCAAACTAATTACAAAGATAATTAGAAATTCTTTTGCTCTGGTCAAAAAGAACAAAACCTTAAATCTGCTTTTATAAAAAACATACTTTGAAATAGCCTTCAGTGTACTAGCATATCCTGTAATTTCAATTTAATATATTAAAGAAACCAAAGGAAACCACTACAGAGAAAAATAAAATCTACAGAGTTAACCTTCTTAAGTGCTTTATGTTGTTACTAGCTGGGGTACCCGTCCAACGGACGGGTATGTATGTATATAGTTAAGCGCAAAGCTACACAATGGGCTACCTGTGCTCTGCCCACAACGGGTATCGAAAAACGGTGTCTAACGTTGTAAGTCCACAGACATGCCACTGGAGGGTCCGTTGGACGGGTGAAATAAAAACTCGTTTATAACAAAGAATAGGAAATTGTGTTCCATTTTTTTCCTAGCATAATAAACATTAAAAATGCAAAAAATACGTAAAGGTACCAATACTAAAAAGAAAGACATACTGTTTTCATGTCCTTCCTCATGTTATCCTGTATCACTATGTCAAGTTTGGTGCTCATTGATCAAGAAATGTGGAAACGTATAAGAAACAGATACACACACACACACATATTGACGTTTATTTATATCGACAATGTTTCCTGTTTTTCACTGTGTTAGTTTTATAAAATTTCTTTTCATTTTTCATTAGAAAACAATTATATAAGTTATTAAAAAGAATAAAAGCGATTCAGAAAATGTGTTATTGGGAAAAAACATAGCTTATTAGATAAATAATAGATAAATAGTGTCTTTTTAGATAAATAAGAAAGCCTAATCAATTTTAAAATAGCATATATTTTAAATGCAGTGTATCCATCCATCGGATTATTGACTAACATATGAAAAAAATAATATTGGTTATGTCTTTCTAGAGGTCGTTGAAGTTTACTGAATTTGGTTGGTTTTCGCGTAAAGCGACACAGTACCATATCTGTGCTCTATCCACGTGGGAACTCGAACTTCGGATTTTAACACTGTATGTCCGTGAACCTACCACCTGGTGACAATTCATTGAGTAGATAATTGGGATGCATAAACAATTTTTGCAAGGAATGATGAAACATCCAGGCCCAGACTGAATTCTTCTGTCAATTTTGTTTCTGTCTCTAAGATATGAAAAACCTACATACTTTA